CCCCCCCGGGCTGGCGTTTCTTTTGTTACCTGCGAGCGGGGCGGCCGGGGGGCTCTCTCCGCGGCTGCTTGGGGCACTGGCTCCAGCCGGGAGAGGAGGCGCAGCCATCGGGTTCAGCCTGCTTCACCTCGGCGCCGTCCCGAGGAGGCTTTAGCTCCCATTCAGTCACACACCCTCCTCCTCCTCCTCTTCCTCCTTAGGTACCAAGGCAGGGATCGCAAGCACGGCACCCCCCCTCCCCGCCAAAAAAAAATACCCAACCAAAAGCCAACTTGCCAGCCTGAAGATGGTGGATTTACACTGAGCCACACACAGGCAGGGTCGCCCAGCCACAGCCTGCCCAGCTCGTGCTCTGACAGTTGCAGGTCCTCTGCTCCATGCCGTCCTCCTCTATTTTTTTTTATCATAACCCTGGTCCGTTTTGAACCCAGGAGCGTATAGTTGGCCAAAGGAGGGAGAGAGAGAGAGAGAAAAAAAACCAGAGTGAGAGACAAGAGGGCTTTTTTTTTCGCCTTTTTTTTTTTTTTTTGGTTTTGTTTTTTAATTGTGCTCCCCTGGATTTGCAGTGCCTCGCTTCCTGGGAGCGGTGCTGGAGTGGTTTACAGATCATAGGCAGTCTTATATTTTTGAGTTTGGTGGTGGATGGATGCAAGAGGTAGTGAGAAGCCTTTGCAGCCCTGCCTGTTGTTGGTTAGATTGAGGCAGAGACTTGGCTGCGATTGGGACACGACTGTGACATGGGCATCGATCGCTTCCATTGAGAGCAATGCAAAAACACAGCCTGGGTATGTAACACTCTCAGTGCCATCAACACTTGTTTTACTTTATATTTGCTGGCAAAACTGACAGAACAAGCCGAGGGCTTTTCTTTGAAATAAGGACAAACAATTGGATGGGAAGGTGCACAAAGAAGATGGTTAAAATAAACTGGGGGGGAGAGCCTTAATCATTATTACTTCACTTCCTATTCAACTGACTGTATTTAAGGAGTTTCTTTTTCTTCTCGAATGGGAGAGCCTCCTAAACTGACTGAAATAAAAAAAAAATCAGGCAATCTACCTTGAGGGAATACCTGATAGTTTTCAGGGTTTGCGGTTTCAAGCGGCAGGAAGGCACACAAAAATAAAAGATGGCTAGCCAGCTGTTTTAACCTCTTGCACCTGGCTTCAGTGCCGGGGCTCATCAGGATTATTCAGTTATTCGTGCTATCTGTGCTTGAATATGTATAGTGTACGATCTAGAGATCCACACACTGCCTTGTAGCATCTCTTTATCCTCTGGTCATTGGCATTTTTTTGGGGGGGTGAATTCTTCAACATAAACATGTATTCCATAGTTTTCATTTTTATGATAATGAATATAGAGGGTCAATGAAATATAGGGGGGAAAGTCATAAATCTGCAAAAGTGAAACCTACCCCAGGAACAAAGAAAGGTCAGGTAAACCATCTGTGTAAGTCACAGGGATAGTACCTGCTGTTTCGTTTATGCAGTGATACTTGTTTATTGTGCTCTGAAATGAAACTTATGTGCTAGACCAGGCTAAAACTAAAGGAAACCTTTCCAGAGACTAAAGGGCATGATTTGCATCTTTCATCAGAGAGGCACATTTTTTTTGTTCCTTCATTTTTTACTAGTTAAGGCTTATATTTTCAAGGATGCTGCACCAGCAAAAGATATAAAGGGGCCAAGAAAAATCACTGTTTAATATTGCAGAATTTACTGCTTCCATTCTGACCATGAGCCTAAATTTACACAATGAAATTTGATTATCTCTAATAACAATATTAGATCCTGCACTGGATGGATGAGAATTGAGGTGGTTTTGTTGATTGCAAGGGTTTAATGTTGCATTTCAGAATCTGATGTGGTTTAGCCTCCCTTCCATTAACTGGAAAACCCCTGAGGTTTTACAATTATTTCTTAAAGATAATACATTTAAGATTGCATTGGTAGGCTGAAGAAAAGTCATAAAGGCAAGAAGGGAAGCCCTTAATAACTCTTGAGATTCAGACATGTTCAGCAGTTAGATTGGCTCTGACTTCACCAAGGGTCGACAATGTGTCATTTCCATGAAGCCAAATTGCCCTCTGCCTATATGATATTAATGTGCAAATCAATATTTCAGGGATTAAATTTCCCTTCTTCATTTTTTATGGTTTCTACCTCAATAAGTCTCAAGTCTATTAGAAGAGGCTGGATGATTTAAAATCTTTCACTGCAGAATGGCTTGTCGTAGCCTTGTTTCACAGACCGTTTTTGGATTTTCGTTGTAAAAGACTAAAGGCATTCCAAAGAAGTTGATAGTCAATGTAGGAACATGCTCAATATTGTAAAGCCCTTGTTCGATTAAGAGCTAAAAAGGTATTGAAAATATAATATATATGTTTATATAATATATATACATTCTACTGCTTTAAAAATATTGTGTTAATCACCTATTGATTTATTTCAAAATCAATTGAAGCTCCTTTCTTATTAGTGATTTGTTCAGCATTCTTCAGCATTGTTGTTAATTTTCTTAAACAGCATGCATGAATTAATCGGCTGTGAGAATGTGTCTTGGATTTTCTTTTAGGAATAGATTAAACTCAGACATATTTACTTCTTTAACTTAAGTGGTGTGAACAGTTGAGACTTGATAAAAGAGTCAGGGCAGTATTTTCTGCACTTAGGATGCAGCCTTGTCTTAATGCAGCAAAAGGGCCTTTTACAAATATTGTATGATTTCTGCATAGAAGCTTATCAACAATGTTTGTTAAGGGTTTCTTTCTGAATATACACAATCAGTTAAAAATGAAAATGGAGCTATCTGATGTGGAAGGAAACAATACATGACAGAAAATTCAGGTCGAAATATGAGGTTGTGACTTTATCACATAATCTTGGGAAGGCCCTACTGTCTATCATTTGGTGTTGTTTTATAGTCTTAGACCATCTGGACCAAGTTCCGCACAGCTGCATGAATTTCATATGTGATAGAACATTTTTTCCATTCAGTGTGAAATGTTCCTTCCTAAAAACGTACACCAGACTCGCTTAATTTAGTCTGCTAAAAGAAATGCACATGAAAAAGGACAAAAGGCTCTTTAATCTCTGCAAGCTGTTTGTTTTTCTTCAAGATTCCTGTCTGTTTGGGTTTGAAAAGTCATGTTTATTGAGGAGATGATTCTGAGGTGTGACATTAAAATAATATATGATTTTTGTGCTGATTTCTGTTCTCCTACTTAATTTGCAGAACTACTTTTTATGCCTGTCAAAACATACAGTTAATCTATTCTTATTTACAATTAATCTCAATAAAATTAATCTTAACTATGCCTTAGTCAGTGGCTTAAAATATCTAATTATATTCAATTAACTGCTGTCATAGTAATTAACACTGCTTAATTGCCTCTGCATATATTTATGTAAAGCTCATTAGTTACTGCTTGCTCTTTTTTCCCTTTTCTCATTCCCATTTTTGTTGCTCTCAGATCACTGACATAAAAATTCAGCCTAGTTTTTGACATTTCTGATCTTGAGAGATCTATGACGGTGACAGTAAATGATTTTGTAACCTGCTATTTGGGTAAATATTAGGTTATTTGTATGCAGAAAAGATACTAGGGCTGGGTCTTTAAAGACCCTCCAAGCCCTTCCTCTCCTTCCCCCCTGCTCTAGCACAGACAGAAATATCCCAGGGGAGGTGCACCTAGGCCAA